CAGTGTCAACGCTTTTAGTCGGGTTAATTTTAGTCTAATATTAGTCGGCTAAGCTCCTCACAGCGATTACTACGCTGTAAACTAAGCATATGACCTGGTTGCAGTTTATTTGAGAAAAAAAGACCATCGACGGGTATTGTGTGTGTGTGTATGTGTGTGTCCCCATTCGGTCGCTCAAACTCGCCGGGACGAGCCTACGCGACGACGCGTGCCATTTTCCTCTCCTTCTCTCCTCCTTCATCCTTTTTCTCTCTCTCTCTCTCTCTCTCTCTCTCTCTTTTCCCACCCCTTTTGTAACGTCGACGATTGACGGAGATCGAAATCGCGTCGCGCCACGTCATCGATCATCGATCGCTGACGACGGGGAACCACGGAGGGACGAGCGCAAAAAAGAGAAAGATAGAGAAAAATATAGCGAGGGATGAGAGAAAGAGAGAGATAGAGACGAGGGACGCGAGGATCCCTTTGCGTGTGAATTTACTTTTCATTGACCAATTTTCTAATGAGTAATATAAATTGGCCATGCGCGCGCGCACGCACGCTCGCTCGCGAGCGCAAAATCACAAAGCTGTTGCAAGAATAATGAGCTAAAAACAACCCCCGCGCACTCTGACATTTTCTAAAATACATCCGCCGGATCGTTGGATTTGTGATCTCGTCGTGAGGTAATGGAGACTCTCGATGAGAATTCGAGGTGTCTCCTCTTCTTTTTTTTCTCTCTCTCTCGTCACGCGTTGCACGCGATCAGGGCGGACGAGTATCTCGAACGAGAACGCGCGCGCGGGGGAACGTTTACGAGGTGTAAAGTGAAGTGAATCGAAGCCGTAAAGTACATTCGCGCGTGTTCTTCTCCTCCTCCTCTTCTTCCTTTTCTTTTTTTACGGTTCGCGCACGTCGCTTTCGGCGGCTTCGTCGAAACGCAAATACGCGAGACGGGGGAATTCGCTCTAAGGAAACAATCATGGATTTCGCCGACTAATCCGAATTTAATGGCCGGTCTAGGAGGATGGGTAGGTAGAGACGGCAGGGCGAGCGAGAGACGATTAATCGAAGCGACACGGGAAACGGGATCGATAACGCGAGCTCGCATTCACCGCGTACGCACCAATTCAACTACACCGTATTACAGCGTTCTAACGAGACACATCGCTGTCCGCATTAACTCTGCCTCCTCCCTTCCCCACCTCTTCCCCTCCGGAATTGGGATCAAGCGGTATATCGGCGCGAACCGTCCGGCGGCGCACGATTCTTAATTACCGCCGGAAAACCCGGAGCCATAAAAACGCGTCGCGTCGGGAACGACGTATTTCTTTCCGCCGCGATAACGAGCGCCCTTTGCGCCCGAGCAAAATAAATTCGCCGTCAGATATGATCCGATCGACTTTTCGATCTGACTGTTGCGTCGATGTTGCGACGGCCGTTGAGATTAAGCGTGGAGACAAACACACGAGATCCGTCAATGTGGCAACGGGAAAAGGAAAATTGGACGGACGCTCGCGCTAAGCGCACGATGAAGTTGTTGCTGCTCCTCGTCGCGGTGTATACATCCGGCAGCGTGCGGTTTCGCTCTGCTTCCGTAAGTAATTTCCGCAACGAGAAATATATTTCTCTCTCTCTCGCGCGCGCTCAAATATCGTGTGTGTAATGTTTTTTTCTCATTCTATGTACGAGACTGACGTGCGAGGCTCTTCAACAGGTCGCGAGTAAGTATTACACGACATATTCGAAACTTCGGTATAATTCGACATTTGACGACGCAGTGCGAAGATTCGAAGTCGAATTATTCGAAGTTTCGGAATATTGAAACTGTTAGCAGAACTAATTTCGGAGAGTGCGACGAAATACTGCGAAGTTAGAGTATATCGGTTTAACCAGGATAACAAACATTCTAAGACGGCGTAATGACGTCTTTTAGATAAGACAATAAGACGCCTAAAGCGTATCTCTGAGACTTCTCTCAGACATACGTGTCGTTTCGGTAAGTATCTTTGATTCAATTCCTTGAGATTTATATTTGTCTGGTTTAAAACAAAGTGAACGGAGAAAGCACAAATAATTAACACTACAGTCTTTAAGACAATAAATACTATTTACTGCGCCTATAAAAACGAACACGCGCTTTCAGTTCTTGTTTCAGATGTTTAAACATTCGGATATCCGAAAGTTCAAAAACTGAAAAGTATGTGAGTTCGTTTCGCAGGCACAGTAAATTAGTATTTACTGTTCCTGAGAATGTAATGTTAATTATTAGCGCCTTCTTCATTTGTTTTAACCTAGACAAGTTCGTTTGGCCCGTCCACTCTATCTGGTAAATTCAACCAAACTTCTTTTCCGTTCGAATATAACCTGTCGGAGGTCCGAAAATTCGAAAGGTTCGAGTTATAATTTCTATATCCCTGGTCGCGTGAATTCTTTTCTCTTACGGCCGAGACGCATGGCTCCATGGCCGATTACGGAACGTTACGTAATATTTAGCGGTACCGTCAGATGCCTATGTGTTTAATTAATTATGCGAATCGTGGTCGCGGCCGGCGCTGCGACCGCCGCTGCCACACCGCCTCGGTCGACCGGACGGCCGGTGTCGATGGCTCTGGAGGAATCGCGACCAGAATGCCTCGCATTCGGGCGGAACTTTGGCTCCGGCTCGCCGAGAAGCCGGGGAGCACAGTTTAGCGAACTTTCGCGAGAGATACCGCCGCCGAATAATCGATACGCCGCTCGCTATTCGCCGGTAAGCTCCGCCCGTGTGAAGACAGGACTACTTTCAAATTGAAGACGAGGAAAGCACGTCGCCCTCTCAATATTTTAAGCTTATCGGAGCTTTAAAAGCCCCCTCCCCCCTCCCATTCATGCGATCACACGTAATCCGATATTCCGCGCTGTTCATTCATCCACGTAGCGAGAATTAGTGCAACTTTACTATTCCGTGCGGCGACCGCGAGGAAGTAATTTTCCCGCGCTAATTGGATATCGAGATACATATCTCCGAATCCTGGGATATAACGTGAAAAAAAAAAAACGAATCGCTGCGCGGAAAAAGACGCAAAATAGGAGGATATAACACGATCGTTGTCTTCGCCTCATTTTTTCCGTTTTTAGCTTAAATAAATCGCTCGTTCTTCTCTTTCGTCGCCGGAAACACCTAAAAGTTCCATCCAGACGTAAGCATCACGGCGTGTTGACCTCTTTAATAGTAAGATCGGGGTCGGATCCGACCTCGTGCTCTGTTTTCTTCACTTTTCATCCAATTAACGTGCAAAAGTGTTTATTTAGAAACGGAAAAAATACGACACAGTTCACCGAATTACCTGAAAACGCGGTAAGGTATTTTAAAAGACGCTCTGACGTTCCGAAAATCCACCTCGGCAAAGGGAAGTAGAGAATTATTTCGGGAGATAACCGTGATCCCCTTATGACTTCAATCGTAGGTTTTATGACTAAGGGTAAACAAAGAAGAAACGTGAGCACCGGTGATACCGGCTCGGTCAGCTTGTTCTGGAATCGCAGAGAGAGTGTGCCTTCGGTTCATCTCGCACGAAAGGCACCGGCCCGGACGCGATATGACACGCGATAAGACGCGAGGTAACGATTATTCGCTACACGGGGAAAGAGAAGAAGAGAGCGCGTCGTTCCCTCCGCTCCGTCGTTTTCATTTAGTGGCGCGCGCGCGCGCTCCCTACAAAAGGGAAGTAAAGGAGCAACGAGAGAGAACAACGCACGTGCTCCCGAGCAACGATCTCCTCACCGGTCTTGTCGGTGGATCATCCAGGCACATGTCGCACTCCCCACGTCCCTCGGACGACGAGTTTTGCCTTATTCAGTGTTTTCCGGGCTCTGCTCGCACACGTGAAGCGCTCGAAATTGGCGAGTGGCCAGCAAAAACCCTAAGCCTGCTGCCTCGAACCGACTCGACTTATTTTCACGAGGCGAAGCTCCGGTAACGCGCGCGTCCGCGGTTTACGGACCGAAAATAACGCTCATAGTGTAAACATTGGCGAGTTATAATCGATGCGGAGTATCGATCGATGCTGGTACCTGCTCGCTGCTAAAGAGAGAGAGAAAGTTTTTTCTCGTGTTTTTCCAGAAAGACAGAGCGAGAAAGAGAGAGAGAGAGAGAAGGACAGAGGAAACACCGAGAGATTGATCGACGCGAAATTTATTCCGCGTCCCGGGAATACATTTAATCACACCCGAAGATAAACCAAAGTTTAACGAGCGCGGCGCGCTGCGTTGGTGGGTGCGTTGTGTGTTTGCCGTGCTGAGATTGATTCGGGGCACGTCTGTGTCCTGACGCGAACGAGGGATAGATAGAGAGAGAGAGAGAGAGTGAGAGAAAGGGGCGGGGGTGGAGGATCGGAAGAGGATTGTCAGTTATTCCCATGAAAAGAGAGACCTTTAACGAGCGACCCGCTCGACACGACGGGGACAATTTAACCTGATTTAAATCTCCTCCAGATCCAGGCGAGATCGATCGTCCATCAACCATGTGAATCCGTACGACCCCGCGCGCGAGTCGAGAAACCCTCGCAAGTGGCAAGAATTAAGGACGAATAATAAGGAATTAATGCGTGTGCTAGAATCGGCGGGGAACGGTCCGTGCTTTAAAACTTGTGAAGAAATTTATAGAGGGAGAAAAAAGAAAGAGAGAGGTAGAAGAAGTAGAAAAAGAACCAATAGAGAGAGAGAGAGAGAAGTTCGCGCGTCCGCTTTCGGAGCGGCGGTTGTTTGTAAACATTTTTCCCCGGTGAGTTGGCGAAGGCGAGACGCGACGGCGACGACGAGGATGACGACGACGACGGCGGCATCATCGGCGGGTGGCCCGCCGTAGGAAGAACGGGGAAAACAGGCGGAAGAAGGGAGGGGCATGCAGGAAACGGGGAGAGGTTGTCTCCGTCCGTCCGTCCGTCCGTCGTCTCGCAAGCCTCCTCCTCGTATCGAACCACGGTGCCGGAAATCGCGCACGCACCGCCACGGCGTTGGGGACAAGTGTGCGCACTTACCTAGGATCCGGCAAGACGATCTTCTTGCTGGCACGGGCGGCTGGCGTGCACTTGCTCTTCTCCATGGCCATCAGGTAGCTGACGTCGGCCAACACCGCCTCGAGGTCCGCCATTTTCCTTGATGGGTCCTTTCAACGGTGGGTCTCGATCTACGAGGAAGACGATCACCTTTTCGCCGTCGTCGTCGGCGAACGGACTCCCCCTTCCCCCTGTCGTTCCTCTTCGTCTTCCTCGGCCTCCTTCTCCTCCTAATACGGCACCGGCTCCGGGTGCGACCTAGCACGCAGCCGACACAGCCGCTTCGCTGCCACGGACACGGTGCTCCGCCGCCGTTCGCGGGTTGCCTTACTGCCGCATATTTTTAGCGTAACGCAGCGACGGCGACGACGGCGGCGGCGGCATTCCGTACGATCGAACGGCCGACCGAGGGAACGCGCCTTCTCGTTCTCCAATTGATGACAGATCACCGCGAAGGACGGACGGACCGACGGACGAATGAACGAACGAACGAGAATGAGTGAGAGAGAGAAAGAGAGAGAGAGAGAGCGAACGAACGTCGATCGACGAGTGAGCAAGCGACCGACGACGACGGAGGTTAGTGTCGCCGTGAGGCAGCGCGATGTTCCAGAGGACGATGATGTTCGCTCTCTTGCGGCCGCACTCTCCTCTCCTTCGTCGCCAGACTCTTCTATCTATCTGTTTATCTCCGTCCCCGCTTCGCCGCCTCTGTCCTTTCTGCCCCCTCTCGCATACATACACACACGCACACTGTGTATTTCTCTCTTGCTTTCTCTCTCTCTCTCTCTTTCTTCTTTCCCACTTTCTTCCTCCTTCCTCCTCTCGGAACGTCGCAGCACGAGCAGTAGCTCCTCTTCTTCTTCCTCTCAATTTCACAGTATCGCCGCTCGCACGCACGGGTTTGCGCGTCGCGACGAAGCTGGCCTACCTCGCTCAACTTGGCTAACGCGAGCTCCCATTTTACGCGAGACGCCGCGACGCCGTTGCGACTCCTCTCATCACGCCCGTGTGCGTTTCGCGCGATCAACGCTGCGCGTCTCGAGGTGGGCTCTCGGGGGAAGCGTAGACGATCGGCAGGCGAACGATCGGNCGTGCGCGTCCCTCCTCATCCCGTCTCTCGAGCTGGAGTGAATGCGCGCATTCACTCCAGCTCGAGAGACGGGATGAGGAGGGACGCGCACGGTAAATCTCGTCGCGTTGCTTCGCAGGGTAACGGCATATACACGCACGCACACACACGCACACGCGACACTCGCTCAGCCGCAAGCTCGCGACTGCTCGCTCGCGACACTCGCACTCGCGCTCCGTACTGACTCGCGCGCGCCCTGATTGGCCGAGCGCCACTCTACGGCTAGGTCGCGAACTACCATTGGTAAGATGGCCCTTCCGACTCGAGTCTGCGCTGAACTGGACGCCGTCGGTAAAGCAGCCACGATTTACCGTAATCGAGACTCGAGTCCACCCGAGGTCGCTCGGATCTTCGCTCGAGGGTGAAAAGGTAGCTTTGTAATTATATGCGGGCTTAGGTAAGCTTGATTTTTTATTTCTGACTAAATTAAGTTTCGAAGTCGATGCCTGTAAAATTAACTTGGATGAATTAATAGTTACTTAGGAGAAAAAGTGATTTAATTAAAGGCTGAGTTAAAATTAAGTTAACTTTTTGAAAATGTTAAAAGAGTTAATTGTGCAATATATATATACAGACTATTCCTCTCTAAACTTTATAATTTGTGTCTGAAAGATTTCTTTCTATTTTGCTCTATTTTTGTCATATTAAGGTGTCTCAATTTAAACAATCCACCCAATATATGTACATACATATATTTTTTGTATAATCAATTTTTTAATCTATTTCAATTTATGCGTAATAAAAGAGAAAGGCTGCGTTCAGCAGAAAAAAATCCAGCTAGTAAGCACTTTCTATTGAGTTTTGCAACTGTTGTTAGATTTTTTGCTGAACGACGCTTTGCGCAATTTACGCTACTCCAACATGTTTACTAAGCGACCCAGCATATTAAAAGTATGCTGGAAAAAATGACGACTTTTTAGCAAACATGTTGGAGAAGCGTAAACCTGCTGGTTTCGTTCAGCAGAAAACATTAAAACAGTTGCAAAACCGCTGGCAAAAGCGCTGACTAAGCTGCTTTTTCTGCTGAACGCAGCCAAAAATAGGCTATTATAAGAAAAAATACCGTCTGGTTTGTGTTCTGGAATCCATACAAAAAAGAACGCTAGCTAACTCGGAGAAGAAAAAAATCCTATTATTTTTTATTTCTCTTATTATGTATCATTAATACTTCGTGTAATGATTGTAATACCGATAAATTATTTTAATAATCATATAAGAAAAGTTAATAAGTCAAAATTAATGCGCTTAAAAATAACTAAGTTTAAGTTAAAATTTGGCACATTTAAAATTAAATAAATTAAGTTAAAAGTCATTAGCTTTTTAATTCTTAACTTTTAATTGATTGAATTAATTACTAACCAAACCTGATTATATGTATTATTTCTCATTATAAGCAAGTTCTTTTGCGCAAAATCTTTCGCGCTGCTGCAGGAAATGTACGCAAGCTAAAGATTTCTTTCCAGCAAAAATGAGGTCAACCGTGATTTTTCTTTTTTGCAAGCGTAATAATTCACCGTATTTAAATAACGGGTCTAAGAAACCCATTTTAATTATACCTGTTGCTTATAATAGTATATTATTAATATAATATGTAAATTAATTGGAATTAATTAGACCCTCATTACGAAGACATCATTCTTATCAAGGATTAGGGCCGTAGTACAACTCAACGACAAGTCAGACGTGTTTTCTCTTCTATTATAGGCAACATTTAAGAAAAATTTAACGAGTTGTTTAACTTCGATAAAAATGACAATAATGAAAAGGCTTCAGAAGACTTTCAAAGCTTGAAGTTTCTATTTTTCTGGCCTATCATTATGTTAACGCCTTTTATTAGCAAGATATATTGAACTGAATTAATTATAAACACAGATTGTTTAATTTTTAACTTATTTTAACTCGTTGGATTATTTTTGCTTTGAAAAGTAAATTTTATTGAAAAATGTGAAAAATGAATTTTAAAGAGAGAACTTTTAGCTTTTAATCAATAAAAAGCCAAAAAGAAAATTTATTTCTTAATGAACATTATACATCAATTAGTTTACCTTTTATAAGCGATCGAAGGATCTTTTTGGCTTTAACGTTATATATGTGTATATAATTTAGTGACGAAAGTCGCACCACAATCTGTGGGGATACAAATTAAAGGGAAAAGTTCACGCCTTATATATATACGTTATATGTAACTTTCTGTTTACACGATGTAACTTGACAAATATCATACAAAATTTTAATACTTAACGGATCGCTCGATTTGTATTCATATAACATGGTAAAGATAAAGTTTAAAACTTTATATTCAAAAATATACAGGAAAATTAAAGACTTCAAGCTATAAAGGACTTCTCGAACTATCTCGATTTAACATTAATTTTGCAGAAGTTACAACACATTGAATTTTGTTCATCTTTGAAAATAAATTATTAATTACATGAGTACAATATACCTCTGATAAATTTTTAAGATAAGTATACGGTGTACCAAGGCTGCAAATAATAGTACAGAATGCCTTGTACATAAATTTAATACTTGACACACTATACAATTTTCCGATATCAAATAGTGTTTACAACAGACATAAAAACAATAAACATTAAGTTTGACTTAACACGCGGAAATATTTCGATAGCTTCGACAAACACATTTCCTGCTGTTATGATTACAAGATTGACGATCAAATGTAATTTTCCTCATTCAATCATATATATGACACATAGAAATTCTTGTATATGGAATCTCGCGGAATAATTGTGAATGTTCTATATTCTCAATCTTTCGAAACACCGTTTCATTACATCCGTTTACATTAGTCAATCGCTTCGCTAAACAGTCGAAAAATCACATGCAGAAAATGTACCTTCTCCTTATCACCTTTATCTTACAGAATTTCTGACTACTTATTATCTTTAAGCACTTTTTAGTTATAAATCTTAATCCTTTCCCTACTGTTAACAAACCTAGAACAATATTCAACTTTGGCAATTTCCTACCTACTATACTTGTTCTTTTTAACTTTGTACGAATGTATTATATTATACGGCAATCCTTATATGGCCGGTAATCAAAATACTGATTACAAAACTGTAGCGTTATATTTGAAGAGTGTATTTTTTCACTTAAATCGGAATTCGTCACGAGGCACATGGTATTTTTTTCTCTAATTATTATTTTTAAATTAATATTTAATAAGACATTTTTTTCTAGAATTTTTTTCTAGAACTATACACATAATAATTATTATCGAGTTAGCTCATCTTACTTGTTACCAAAAAGGTATCGAATTATTGCACCTGAAGTTTTATATTTTCATAGAATACGAAGAATCATATATGCGACGAGATGCGCGAAAATAAATAAAATAATACAATCGAAAATTATAATACACAGTGATTATGCATATGCAAACTAATAAATAACGCAAGATACAATTCATAGCTATTAAAACATTAAAGTGTGTCCTAATCCAGTAAGGAGAGGATTACAGCGTAGATTTCTAAAATCACAGCAGACGTATTTAAACATCACTCTATCGATTCGTGGGTGATGTAACAATTTCAAATTTTATCTGTCTAAGGTTATAGACCTACGGTTATATATGTTATAGGTCATAGAATGTTCATGAGAGCTACCACTCAAAGAGAAGAACGTAATATAACATAGTGATAGGCACACCAGTAATTGGCAAAATGCTCTTCGTCTTCCATTTTTGGCCTACGATAACAATAGTGTGAATCATCATTATTATTATTATTATTATTATCCATTTGTCTCACATACCCGTGTCTTTGATCCGATGTTTCAATTTAACTAACGTATTACAGAACGCGATATATATCGCTTCACTAGGCGCACGCTGTAATTACCTTTAGAAACTCTACGATAACATTCTAGTGACGTAATGAGAGTATGCGATGAGACATACGATAAGAGGGGGGGGG